AAAGAAGGAAAGAATGAATGAAGGAAGGAAAGAATGAAGGAAGGAAGGAAAGATGGAAGAAAGTAAAGAAGGAAGTAAAAAAAGGAAAGAAGGAAGTAAAGAAGGAAAGAAAAGGAAGGAAGGAAGGAAGGAAGGAAAGAAGAAAGGAAAGAAGGAAGGAAAGAAGGACGAAAAAGGAAGGAAGTAAAGAAGGAAAGAAGGAAGGAAGGAAGGAAAGAAGGAACCGGAGAATACGGTAATCTACTGTTGGCTACAGCTGCAGGAGAGAATTCCCACATTTCTGTTACTGTTGAAGCTACGAGCTGCAGCTCTCTCACCCTCTTGCAGACGATCAGGCGAACGTTGGGTCCGGCGCGGTGGGTGAGCTGGACCAGAGCCATCAGGTCCTTATAGTTCACAACTTGATCTGCGGAGTATGGGTACAAAAAGACGTTACGGTTCCATAAATGTTTAAAACAACTACATTAAGATCAATTAAAAAAAAAGGTTTGCTGGTTCAACCCACCGGTGTGGAGGACCTGATTGAGGAGGCAGCGGATCAGACTGGGAGTGATGTGAAGCTCAGAGAAGACCAGAGACAGACCCGTGTAGCCCGCCTCCCTCAGGCGCAGCCGCTGTTTGTTCTTCTCGTAAACGCGGTCGCAGCGCAGCATGCGCTCGAACAGCTGCGGAGAGAGGAGCGTGTCCACGGTCAGCCGTGTGGAGCGAAAGGCTCCAACCAGAAGGAGCAGATTTTACTGAGCGTTTGACGCGGCCTCACCTTGAAGACGAGCTCGCGCAGTCGATCGGAGTGCTTGTTGTTGAGGAGGAGGGTGTAGCAGGAGTCGGCGGCGGCGGGTTCGAAGAGCAGCAGGAAGAGCTGATCTTTGGCCGGACTGCTCTGCAGCAAACTGAGCAGCATTTCCAACAGTGTGCACAGCTGCAACATACAACCACAGTCGACATTAACACGCCATCAGACAGGCTGCGGGGTGTTCCCACATGTTCCTGCATTGTTCTAGAGAAAAAAACATTTATTTATTAAATATTAAAGTTTTTGATGAAAAAGTTTGGAGCTTTTCTAGAAAATCCTCATGCTTTAGAAACCTTTTTATTAAAGGATTACCTCTTAGAGATGTTTTGCGAAAAATGTGCGATGAACAGTCAACATCTTGCCTGTTGCAGATGGCTCTTCGAACAATCTCACTTTGGAGAAATAGTTGTATTGAGAGCAGATTGGCCTTCTGAAGTCTTAAAACTTTAGTCCTGACAGCTAAAATGCAGAGTCAGCATTAAAGTGCGTTTTCCTGTTTATAGTTTCTTTGTATGTATTGTGCAAACTAATGTTGCAAACTTTGTGCTTTTTTAAATCGCTTAAAAATAAAAACAGTCAACTTGATCAAAAGACAGGTGCTGTGACGTTTGTTTTTTTGCTAGAGCACAACCGATTTATCTGTAGGGCTGATATTTTAGGATGATATAGGAGTTTGGGGACATATCGGTACCGGGGATAATTGTCCCATTATGCGTTGATTTACACACTGGGAACAAGTCGTGTCCTTACTTGCAAATGGCGTAATTGTACAATGTATCCAGCAGAGGGCGCATGCAGACTACTTTCAAATTATGGCCGTTCTCTTTAACTTTCACTTTCAGAGCAGACGAAGCAGGGAGCAATACTGTGTAGTGTATTATGCTGAACAGAGTATGGTAAGTTTATTGAAAGAGGTCTGCAAAATAAACACGTCAACAATAATAAATTCTCTTCAATCTTCCAGTTCGCTGGTCATTAGCTGTGTGCTTAGCAAGCTAACGTTTAGATAACCTACTCTAGCATAGGCTATTGCCTTGTAAAACTTTATCCAGATAATAAATCTAACGTAGAGGTAAAATATATCGGGTTTAGTATCGTTATCTTTGTTGTCCTCAATGTAATGCATTGTTTGTCTGAAATATTTACTTATTTGCTAAGAAAAAAAATGCAGCTGCGGTCAATACTAATTAGACCTTCACCATACATGACTGACTGTTTAACCAATGAACAGGGAAGAGTGTTTGTTTAATTTCTATTTTTGTAACACACTTGATAACTTTATGGTGAACAGTGGAGGATAGAAAATGTGAGCGCACATTAGGAAGACTGAAGACTTCAGGTAAAACAGGTTGAAAAGTAGACGTTTACTTAGATTCTTGAGGGTGGACAAAGATTTTTTTTTAAAATTTAGCTATTACAACGGTTATCGGCACTAGCCTTCCACTCCAAGTATCGGAATCAATGAGAGCCAGAATGTTCATATTGGTAGGGCTGTAGTTTTTGTACCTTTAATACCTTTTCAAAAAAAATACACAGATTTATTCAGTTTCTTCAGAAACATTGTTTATACGTTTTCTTTTTGCACAGCTACAAGCTCTGTTTTCTTCGTTTGCTTCTTATGACATCATTTTAGTCTAATTGACTTGCCTGGTCTTCGTCCCCAATAGCAGCGACGTATCCCAGAATGCTTAGCATCTCTTCCTGGGACATGCCCTTGCTGATGTAGTACTTGATGAGGCCGCTCAGGGATGCTCGGACGGTGCGAACGTCGTCGTCACTCAGATTGTTCTCTTTATTAGCGTTTCTCCTAAAGTGAAAGATCAAGTTAGTGTTTTTTTTGTAAATAATAAAATAAATATAAGTTTTATGACGTACGGTTTTACCCGTAATAAAGCCGAATGGTGTCCAACAGAAACTGAACTCCATATTTCTTCCTGAACTGCTTCCTGTTGTCTTTAATGATGGTGGACATGTACTGAATGTGACCTGTCACGCAGAAATAACAGAATTAATAAATATAACAATGGACACGCCCCTCACTGAACAGACGTGTCTGACCTATGCGTAGCGGGAAGTCTCCTTTGTTCCAGATGTTGAAGTTGAACAGCAGATGTGTGTGGAGCTGCTGCAGCAGCGCCTGGTTCTTCTCGTGCGTCACCTGCTCGATCAGCAGCTGCATGGCGACCAGCATGCTGACGTCTACGTGACCTGCGGGGACCTGCAAATGAAAACGGGCGAGTTCAAATGGAAGCGACGATGATGGGTCAGAGAGCGACAGATACGGAAATCAGACCACTTAGGAGACGAAGAAACTAACATCGCAAGGCGTGGGATGAAACGGACGCTGCAGAAACTCAAACGGATCAGGAGCGAGCAGGAAGAGGGAACGGGTGTTTCACATGGCTCGTTACCAGTCAGGGTGCGGTGGCTTTCTTTGCCGAAAGCAACTTTCACCCCGTCTGACTGATTTTAATTTTATCTGGGTCTCTGAGGACGTTTGTTTCACCATAATTACAAAACTTACATGTGCTGAACAAACAAACATAAACAAGAGACCAAAAATAAAAGAAGGGAGAGAGAGACGGACGCAGGCAAAAGTTATCAAAAGTCCGGCAGAATAGTCTCTCAATACTTCACGGTTAGACTTTCACGGACTCGCTCTTTCGCGGGTTTTCAACGTAAGATTAAACATGACACACGACTGGCAATGGGGGAAAGACAGACCCCACCCCCTGCTTCCTCCTTTCTCTTTCTGAGGCTGTCACAGCAAAGCCTGCATCTTTGCTGTGACAGCCTCAGAAATAGAAAGGAGGGGTTTGGGATCTGTCTTTTCACATCTTGTCCCAGAGACACATAACAGATGGGTGTGAAACAGACAGCCTCAACAAAAGAAAGGAGGGGGCGGGGTGGGGTCTGTCTTTTCCCATTGTCTCCCAGAAACATACAACAGACAGCCTCGGAAAAAGAAAGGAGGGGGCAGGGTGGGGTATGTCTTTCCCCATAGTGTCCCAGAGAGACACAATAGGCAGGTGTGCAACAAACAGCCTCAGAAAAAGAAAGGAGGGGGCAGGGTGGGGTCTGTCTTGCACCTGAGTGAGCCACACGAGTGGCATGGATTGTTTATTTAAAATAATCAAGCGTGACCCAAACCGAGCCTTTAGGAACAAGAGCAGGAATCAAAATGCTGGATACTTCAGGCACGAGGCGATCACAGGGAGGCGGAGACTGAGGAGCGCTTTAGGAGCACACAGGTGCAGCAGGAGGGAGACTGGGAGTGACACAGGTGATGGCCATGAGTGCGATTGCAGTGGAGAAGCGGGCGTGGCAGAGAGTGTAGATCATGACACGCTGTGCTCTTTAAGAGCATTTAGAACATTGTTACAAACATCGCAAGAGTCTGGGAAGGGTTTATAAAGATTTAAAATATCAAATACTAAAATAAATATAATGTCCCTACTTCACAGATTTTCACCTATTGTTGGGGTGTCGAGAACGTAACCCCCACGATAAGTGAGGGACTACTGTAATTCAAAGCTTGATCCAACAAAGTTCAGTCAGGTCATTTGGACAGTTTCTTTGTTTGTTAAGACGTTTCGTCCTTCATCCAAAGGACTTCATCAGTCTGAGGAGCCACAACAAACTCAGTCCCACAAGCAGCAGACTCTCAGAGTGGACCAACCAGTTTGCTGGTAATAAGAGTTTCTGTGGCGTGCCCTCTCCCTGCCCTTTGGAAGAAGGACAAAACGTCAACAAAAACAGAAACCATCCAGATGACCTGACTAAATTTTGTTGGATTTTCTACCTGAATTATTGAGCATGGGCTTTGATGTTTTGAACCAGTTTGGCCATGGCTGCCTCAGAGGAGTTGACGGGGGAGAGGGCGTGCCCCAGAAACCATCTCATCACCGGCAAACTGGTTGGTCCACTAAGTGGGTGCTTGTGGGACTGAGTTTGTTGCGGCTCCTCGGACTGATGAAGTCCTTTGGACGAAGGACGAAACATCTCAACAAGAAACCGTCCAGATGACCTGACTGAACTTTGTTGGATTTTTTTTCACCTGGATTATTGAGCATGAACTTTGATCGTTCATACGTCTAATGATTCGTATAAGGGAAAATGTGAATTCACATCTTCATGACCTGCAGCTGAGGGCAAGCTCATCACGAAACGGTGAATAAATGTCAAAGAAATGATCCGAAGGCAAAAACTTCACGTCTATGTTCTACGACTGATTCACTTTGAGAGTCAACACTGTCAAACAGACCAAAGCTGAGCTAGACTTGGATGTGGTAGCAGCTAAAACCCATCCTCACCACATCTCACGAGACTGCGTAAACTTTTTCTTTTTACAAAGTTTGAGCAAAACGTCAACAAATCATCATCATTAGTTTAGTTAGTTAACTTTGGCTAAATGAAATCCTTGAAGAAATGATGTGCAATTTCATTCCAGGGCTGTACAAATGATTTAAAAAAACAGCTGAAAGGGTTAGGGGCCTTGCTCAAGGGCCCAGAGCGAGGCAAATGAGGGTGGAGGCAGGTGTGGGTGCTTCTCCATTCCCATCCACATTTTGATGTCCGTCCAGGGGGTTGAACCAGCAACCTTCCCGTCACAGGCTCGCGTTCCCTAACCTCTGCACCACCACTCCCCAGGGATTCACCTTTTTAATTATAGGGCTTGAATTCCCAGTGAGAAATCGAGTTGTCAAACTGGCATTCTGGTAAACAAAGCTAGCTTGTTGCCAGGTGAAAAAAATCGCCAAATTTCACGGATCATTTTGGAGCTCATGAGACGAAGATCTTGGAAAGAGTAACTCGGCGTTGAAAGAAGTCCTCATTTTGCCAGCGCGGGTCACAAATATGTAACCGGAGCGCAGTTTGTCTCCAATTTGTTTAGAGTCTTTACGGTATTGCGATCTCCGTCAAATCTTTGCGACGTCCTTGATTCTCTTGAGGTAAGAATACGCTTAGTCCTACTACCGTATTTTCCGCCGTACACGTCGCATCTATTATGCGTCACCGCTGACGCGTCGCGTTTGTTACGCGTCACCGCTGACAACCCGGAAATGTGGGCCGGTGTTGCGCCAAAAATCGATGGGCTGCCAAATGGTGGCTGCGGGAGCGTGCACAGGAGGACTTTAACAAGACTGACACTTAAAAACAATTATTTGTTTGCTCGAAATTATTGCAAACGTGTCTCAGTTTAACTTTCATTTAATAAATGCACTTTGATGGTCAAATTAGCTGCATTTTGCCGGGGCGGCGCAGCGAAAAGGAGGACAACGCTGGCAGGCTATGGCAAGCCGATTGTGTCATTAATAGCCATTTTTACCTTTTACATAATACGGCATGCCATAAAGTGCCATCTAGCAGCTGAAAATGGTAGTGTTCAGTTTTGTTCAGTCAGAATGATCCTTGGTCATGTCTCAGCCAAAATTTGGTTTATAAATACGAGGAAAAAACAAAACAAAACAAATATGTCGCTTCGGCACAAAAGCCGCAGGACATGTAAATAATGCAGAAAAACAAAACTGATTTATAGGGCAAACAATATTGTACACTGTGACACAAGTTACAGTAAAGATTTGATCATATTGAGCTTGTTGACCTTTTGCAGCAGAGCTCCCAGAGTTCCCACACCATGCGAGTGGAGCAGAGTCTCCTGGTTGATCTGGTGCCTCTGCAGAAAATGTTTGAGCACCAAAAGAAAAGTGGCCACCAGATTCTTCTCCAGGCGAGCCTCTGAAACGGGGAAGACATTTTCCGTTTCACAACGCGAAATAAAACATAAAATAATATGCATTTCACAGATTGCTGCACAACTGACCTGAAGCTCGGTTGGTTGGAAGAATAACCCAGTCTCCATCAGCTGGCGTGGCCACATCGGGGGTGATGGAGTCCGATCCAGCTGCAGGATCGCCAGTCTGTTGGTCGGGGGTTACCAGGGCCAACTGCTCCAGGATGGGGAAAAGCACCGGCAGGCCTCCGACACAGTTGATCATATCCTGGTCCAGACAACACGTTCGAGAAACTTCAGGATGAAGACCTCGTTTGAAAAAATTAAACGTGAACACATACTGGAGTTGCAACTTTTACGCACCTTAACGTCCCAGTTGACGACTTTTTTCCCCGTCAAGCGTCCGTGCAGCGCGTTTGGAGACAGATCGAGACAGATTGGGTTTCTGCAGGCCTGCAGACCAACAGAGAAGGTTTTAAAGAACTATAACTTTATGTCCCAGTTGTTCAACCTGTGCTGTACCTCTGATGATCTCATTCCTAATCTTCTCCATCCTTGTCTCTCCTAAGGAGAACCTCAACATCTTCATTTCTGCCACTTCCGTTCTGTCTCCTGTCTTTTGTCCATGTCTCTGTCTCCTGTCTTTTTGTCCATGTCTCTTTCTCCAGACCATACAACATAGCTGCTCTCACCACTGTCTTGTAAACTTTTCCTTTGACCTTTGCTGACACCAATTAGTCACAAATCATTCCTGAAACTTTTCTCCATCCACTCCATCCTGCCTGGACTCTCTTCTTCTCCTCTTTACCACACTCCCCTTGTTCCTGGACAGTGGACCCCAAGTCCTTGAAGTCCTGCACCTTTGTGACCTCTGCTCCTTGTAGCCTCACTGTTCCACCTCCTCCCTCTCATTCACACACCTACTCGGTCTTACTATGAATGACTTTCATTCCTCTTCTTTCAAGTGCGTACCTCCACCTCTCCAAGTTCTCTTCCACCTGTTCCCTGTTCTCACCACAGATCACAATGTCATCTGCAAACATCATAGTCCTGCCTGACCTCATCTGTTAGTTGGTCCATCACCAGAGCAAATAAGAAGGGGCTCAGAGCCGATCCTTGATGCACTCCCACCTCCACCATGAAGCTATCCGTCACTCCTACAGCACATCTCACCACTGTCCTGCTGTCCTCATACATGTCCTGCTGTCCTCATACATGTCCTGTACCAGTCTAACATGTCCTGCTGTCCTCATGCATGTCCTGTACCAGTCTAACATGTCCTGCTGTCATCATGCATGTCCTGCTGTCCTCATGCATGTCATGTACCAGTCTAACATGTCCTGCTGTCATCATACATGTCCTGCTGTCCTCATACATGTCCTGTACCAGTCTAACATGTCCTGCTGTCATCATACATGTCCTGTTGTCCTCATGCATGTCCTGCACCAGTCTAACATGTCCTACTGTCCTCATACACATCCTAGTGTCCTCATACATGTCCTACTGTCTACATACATGTCCTGTACCAGTCTAACATGTTCTACTGTCCTCATCCACGTCCTGCTGTTCGCATGCATGTCCTGTACCAGTCTAATATGTCATACTGTCCTCATACACGTCCTGCTGTTCTCATGCGTGTCCTGTACCAGTCTAACATGTCCTAC